TGGTTTAAGAGTGATACATTCAAATTTGGCCGGGTGGGTGGGGAAAAGAGCAATTCAATGAAGTAACACTTCATCTCATACAGCTTTCTCGTGGACAGCTAGAGAAACATGAGAGGTGCTGGCAGACAAAACCATTTGCCAAAACCCAGTTTCCCAACACGCCCTGTTGTAGCCCTCAGATATGTGCCTGTTTTCAAAATGGCACCCACACCCTGCCCCTCTCCAAGAGCATGCTAGCTTACCTGAGGGGCATGCGTTTGGCCACATCCACACAATTACTGCTTAATTAGTAAGCAGCAAACACATTTCTAAGGTAAGAGGAATAGGGACCTTTTCTTTTTCCCAGAAGTGTAACTGCAAACCCTCCACACACCCCATCTGAATCCCTCTGCAGAAAAACTGCTTTTCCTGTGTGGTAATGAAAAAGTCAAGCATTGGCCCAGAGCCACAGCATGAGTCCCAAGTCTTTGCACCAGGGACTCTAACCTGGGGGGGAGGTAGTATGCTCCTCCCTTGTCTTGCCTCATTTGCATTTGTGTAGCAAATAGATTAAACATATAACCAAAAAAGAATTTACTGAAATGGCTCTTTTGTAGGGGGCAGGGCAACTGATTTTATAATTGAAATACAAAATCTATCCACTAGGTGCATGGAATGCTCTGTAGGCTGGAGAAGTCCAGTTCAACCAGCGCCTCTGGATCCTGGGGACCTCCCTCCTCTGGGGCACATCCCTCCATTCGCCCCTCTGCTGAGATAAAAAGAGCCTTACCCAGCTAGGAGCAGCCTGCCTTCTCTCTCATTCCATCTCTACCCTATCTAGAATGAGGAAAAAGGGAATGAGAAAGTCTCTAAGATCTCAGTCAGCACCTGACCAGTTGAACTCATAGAACCTGTCTGGTGCGCCTTGAGACACACTTTACACAGGATCTTATGTCTTAGGTAGAAAAAAACCAGACATCCAGCCTGAAACCCCTTCAGCTTTCCAGGGGTGGTGCTAACCTCCTGTGGCTCGTTTTAAAGCTTCCCACCTGGCCCTTTAGAAGGGGCAATTGTGAGGTTTAAGATTAAAAAAAAAACAACAACCTCAAAGATGTCCCCTACATCTGTCACCTTTATAAAAACACCAACTGCAGCAACTACTTAAATAATCAACCGTACAAAGATGGGCCATACTGATAAAGGAATTCAGAATCAGCAACTGCTGCCCAGGCTGAGAAACATACCTGGGAGAGGCAGTAGTTGGGGAAACTCTACGTTTTTAGACAAACTCTCGTTACCTCAAGAGTATAAATATATGTATAAGTTTTTATTTAAAAGATTCCCTTTTGAGTCTGTCCAAAGTATTGGAAGCTGAACTATACAAGCCACCCACCTTTCCAGTACAGTGTTTGAGGACATAAGTGGAAAAATAACAAGAGGACCCTCTACTGAATGCAGGTAGGACTAGAATCAGCTCCCATGTGGCAGTTTGGCCAAAGCTGGCCTTGGGGAATGAGCATGCAGAGGAATCTGGGGAACTAGGCCTCCCTCTTTTGAGGAAAGCCCTGAGAAAACTCATCTTTAGTGGAAATGGTCCAAATTCAGATGCAAAAGCCTCCACTGTGACATTCCCTGGCACTCTTCCTATACTTTATATATTGAAGGCAGCTCCCTCTATTATGGCCAGTTTTAGCAGGCAAAGAAACAAAGGGATATAGATACATATATGTGTATATATATATTTTATATAGGTAAAATATATACATATCTGATATATGTATATATACATATTTAGGGGGAGGGAAAGGAGAAGAGGGTCATGTAAACCTAAACAGTCATCACATTACCCCAAATGAGCCTGACATTAACAAAGAAGACAATAAATAACTCCCGGGGGTTAAGTGACAACGTGGGTGCAGCAAGAAGGGAAAGGGCACACGGTAACTGTTAAATACACTTCTGTATTTGTTTGGCAGCGTTCAGGCCAACCCCAGGCTTCTGCACTTGCCAGACAAGTAAGCTGATGATACTCAAAAGAAAAATTTCAAAACGAAACAAAGAAAAAAAAAAAAAAAAACTTCAAGCAGAGCTCCATACCACAGTTTTCCTTCAAGTCAGTCAGTCGGCAGGCACAGTTTTCCGACCACCAGGAACAGAAACTTTGGCTCCAAGGCAAATGAGAAAAAAAAAAAAGTATTTTCACAACATGAAAATACAGAAAACTCATCAAAGAAAGGAAACTGCTGAAGTCTCCTTCCAGCAAAACTGAGGTAGCACTGCTTTCTCCGCCCTCAATGCTTCAGCGGTTCTCAGTACATGTTCTAAAAAACTGCTCACTTGACTGACAGGTGCAGCATGTTGATGGGTAAACTCAACACGAAATGCAATAGGTCAAAGAAGGAATGAGCAAGAAGTGAGGAAAATGAGCATTTCCGATAAATTAGCTTAAAAAGGGGTTGTTACCAGGCTACAAACACTCTTGGCTGGCCTTGGCTCTCCAAGAGCTTCAAATCGCCTGGAAATTAATGCAATGTGGTTAACAGTTAACACTGCTATTCAACTCTGTGTAAATCTTTAAAAATAATTATTACAACCTAAATTCAACCATGTAAACAGCACTACACACAGTACAGACCTGCCCTGAAAAACAATATGCAAACTGAGATCTGGCACTGTATCATTTTGTAATGTTAATTCAACCTAACAGTCCCATCCCCCTCCCTGCTCTCTACCCTCCCCCACAAAAGAAAGTCTAATCTGTGCAAGAAATGGCAGGCTTATTCTATCTGAAGGCTTCAAAAAAAAAAAAAAATACAACATGTAGCCAGGTTCAAATATTTGGGGGAACCCCCCAAAAAAGAAATAACCAAAATAACCAAAAAGTGAAGAAAGTGCCTAAAACATGATACAGCATTTTAGAGCCCTTTCAGATACAAGGCAGAGAAAGGTGTAAAGTAGAAAATATCCGGATCTTCAGTAATTTCCAGAAAGGTCCAATTCCGCGGTCGGCTGCAGGGCAGCGGGCAGATCCTTGTGCTGCTCCTGGGACAGAGCCACTAAGTCTGCTCCTCGGGACACAAGCCCTCGGTCCCTGAGCTGAGTGTGCCTCTCCCTTCCACTTCTCTTTTCCTTCGTTCCATTTCCCACTCCACAAAGGTATCAAACAGACTTGGCCAGGCCTCATCTTCGCTGTAGTTGCTGAGGTCGGGGCCAATCACCTGAGTGAAGTTAAGGAACATGTTCCAAGTGTCCCGGGAGATGCCCTTGATCCCCGAGGGGTTCTCTGTTAGGAAGTTTAGCCACTGGTCCAATACTGGAGGATTGTTCTGGGTAAAGACTAGTTTCCACAGGGCAATGGCTATTTCCCGATGCAGTGACCGCTGCCCTTCTTCAGAGTCCAGGCCAAACTGAAATGTAAACCGGTAGAGATCCTTGAATTTATCCTCTTGTTTGGCTTCTGTTAAGAGGCTAGGGAACCGTGCACAGATCCCATCAATGCTGTCTGCACTTATTGCTTTGCAGCCATCAAAAAACTCCTTCCTGCAACAGGAAGGAGGGAGCACAGTTAATAATTGCAAACAATGTCATTTACTCAGAAGCAGTAAGCAAAGTGACTAAAGCATTGCTTTGCGGTCGAATTGCCTGGATTTGAATTCCAACTCCTTTACTAATTAGTCCTATTTCTTCATCTGTCAAATGATGAGAATCCCGTCTTACTTCGTAGGGTTTTAGTGAGGACTAAACAAGATAATGTATGTCAGCTGCTTCTGACGGGCCCTGGCACACAGGAGGCACTAATAATGGTTCACATGCTCGCTCATTCATCTTGACACAGCTCAAGTCCAGTCTCCTGCTCCCTGCTTTGTCTCCAGCATTCTGTAGAAGTGATTAAGCTGCAAACTCTCCTAGCCAGGGAATCTTCCTGCCTTCCTTTTGATTCCCTTGGGCTGGTTGTTTGGGGAATATTTTTGGTGTTTGACGGGGAGGTTTTGGAGTCAAAGATTCTGGATGAACCTAGATAATTCTGCCACCAGAGTTTGAAGCTGTTATTAAAAACTTAAAAGTGTGTATGTATTTCTAACATCTGCAGAACACTTTGAAAACCCAATGTAATCTCTCATAGAGACAAATCATCTGAGACCTGTTGGGTAACCTGCTCAGGGCTACAAATTGTATGGTGTGGGGGTGAAGAGGTGTCCCAAAGTCAATTTGAACCGACCTCGTCAGCTTCAGGCTGGCTGACAGCAGCATGCTAAGGGAATGGCTTCAGGCAGTGACAGAGGCACATCTGGGGACTCAGCACCTGCAGTGCCTGGCATAAGGCAGATGTTCAGTAATACCAGCTGGGGAAGGGAGAGAATGGACAAAGGAGAGAAAGAGAAGAAAGGTCTAGAACAGGAGTGGACTGAGCAGTAGCAGCTCAGCAACGGCTCATGAGACGACTCCCCAGCTAACGATGCTTGGTGCCCAGTTTTTCAGAGGCTGCCTAATGTCTGGATACGTCCAGAGTTTGACTACTAATTAGGCGAAGGCTTATTCTGTGAGATGAAAGGCGGAGTACATATTAGAAACACATATGGAGTTTTGTCAAAATGCCTGAGTCCAAACCACCTAAGGGTCTACTCAACACAGGTCTGCTCTGGGGTCAGGTACATATTTTTTTTTAAAGCCTTGGGACAGTCAGGGGGACTTCTGTGGCTAAAAGCCCTAGCTTAGAAAACTTTTAAGCTTTAGAGAAATTGGTGAGAAAAAGAAAAAGACTTACCCCAAGCTCTAGGAAGCCAACCCAGTTCTATGCTAGCTGGATACCACTGCCCAAGGGTGCTGTCTATCCTCCTCTGGTCACCGGGTGGTGACATGAAGGATTTTGTGACTAACCTGGTGAATTTGCACATGGTAGCAGCCTGGAACTTCCAAGCCAAGAGCAGCACTCGAAATTCCGTGGGGTCGACACACAGGTCATTGCAAAAGCGCTCCATGCCTTCCTCCAAAATCGCATCCTCCCGCTCATCCTTGTAGCGCCTGAACAGTTCTTCCAACCTCTGCAGGGAAGACTCCTCGGCATTGGACTTAGGCTCCCTCCCAGCATCTCCTGAGGATGTTGGCAGCTGGCAGACCTCAGTGGCAGCCTCTGCCTTCTTGGTCCCATTGACAAGGATGTCCCCACCTGGCTTGCCACAGGCTGGTGGCTGTTCCTCACGGTGACCTGCACCCCTCTTGCTGTGTGACTTGCTGCTGGGGTCACGGTCTCCATTCTTGCTGCCCAGGGTTGATGAAGGGTTCTTGCACTTGGTGACGCACTGGCCCATGGTGCCGGTGGCCTGACCTCTAAAGTGGCCCCCCTTGGATTGGACGCCCCTTCTGCCTCTGGCCCATGTGCCTCAACATGCCATCAGCCAGAGGAGTCAGCCAACCTGGAAGGAAATGAGAGAGCAGTCATGGTCCCCGAACAGGAAACCGGTGTGCACACTCCCCACCACAGTCTGCACTGCAGCCTCGTTGCATTTCACTGACCAGTCGTGCACCAACAGAGTGGTGCCGTGCTCAACACTGCCTCTCAGGAGCTAGCTCTCTACCTTCACCTTCACCTTGCAATCACAGTGGCCAGGGCACATTGTGGAGAGCCAATCAAGAAACTGTACAGTTCTTCAGATGATGCATGCTACATTAACCTACAGAGGAAGCTGGTTCAAGTGCAGAACACATTAAGGAAGACTATGGTTTTGCCAAAACATTCCAGAGGAAATCTATCTTGCCATCACATAAGAAAGGTATCTGGACTTGGAGTAAATCAAAGGTCCATCTTCCTTCCAATCTCTAATATCAAAATTCTCCAAGGCAACTACACAGTTTCAAAGTGGCCCAAAGGTGAGGCAATGGATTTGCAGAGTGAAGACCTTACGACTACGAGGATTTACAGAGTCAAAACTACAAGTCATAGACAAAGAGCAATATTTGTCTCTGGTCTCTACAAATCCCTTTCTGGGCCTATCCCACACAGGAAGTGAAGTGCCCTCTCTCCATTCTTCTACCCACCCATAGGAGCCACCCACTAAGCCTATTCTCCAAGCTAAGTAGTCTAGCCCCTGAGCTGCTATCTCTCCTGCTCCTCAAGTCCTCTGCTAGGCTGTCAGTAGAAGGCAGGCCAAGTTCACGCTCAACAGCAGTGTCCCACCAGGCCACTCAGTCCCCAAGAGAGTGACTCCATTTTAAAAGAAGGGCTCAGATCCCCAAGGACAATCTGTAAATGGCAAGATTTTCACTGCTAGGTGAAAAATCACTCTGCACTGACACTGAAACTCATTGTGGTAGGTTATTAGTTACATAGATAATTTAAAAGTTTATTAGTTAATTTATAGAATTTCTTGGCCAGAAGGGAGGTGATTTCTTTGAAAACTCTGTCTCTCAGAAATCTTATTCTTTCAACTAGTCCACTAGCAGATCTATAATTTAGTACTTGTAAAATTTTGTCACCTGCTGTCATAATTGCAGCCATTGAGATCACAATGTTAATAGAAATTTAGATCAGAAGCCAGAAGTTTAGAAGGAAAAGCAGTTAACAGTCTAGACAACTGCCAGTCCCGTACTTCCCACGGTTCAGGGAGCACTCTTGGATCAAGTACCCAAATTCAAAGCTCTTAGGACACTGGCAGTGGGGCAGAGGGTGCTTTTTTTTTTTTTTTTTAAAGATTTATTTATTTATTCATACAGAACTGGGGTACAGGCCAGAGACGGAGGGTGAGAGGATTCACCAAGGACAGAGAGGGGAGCAGAATAGGCAGACGGACAGAGTACACTGCTGAGGGGAGCAGCGGGCGGGTCAGGAGAGGTCTGCCGCGCCATGTGGATCTCCTTCCAGGCAGGCGGGGATCGAACTCATGCGGAAGTGACTTTAGCTTCTTAGTGCTGTGCTTTAACCAGCTAAGCCACCAGGGAGGGCCAGAGGGTGCTTTTTTTAATGGAAGGTTGATGCTTTGGACTTGACCTAAAGAACTCAACTTCTTCCAAATAGTACCTGGGTGAGTTTGGGGTTATCTTCAAAAGGAATTCTAAGGGTAGGTTCCAAGCATACAAGTTTAAAAGCAGAATTATTCCTGTAGTTATTGTAGACTACTGGTACCAGGGTGTGGCCCATTTTCCACCCTCAAAAAGAATCAATGACAAAGAGACAAGTCTATACATGTCCTGAGAAAGACGTGCAGTTTCACTTGGGCTTCAAATACACTGAAACCTTTCTAAGGGTTTTTGGTATGGAAAGCAACAGAGCCAAGTAACTTTCCCTTAAGTCTTTTTGTGCTTTAAGAGTATTGTCTGTAAGCCATAAACACAACCTATTAAAATTTTAAAAGACAAAGGTAATTCTTGGAAGTCCATTATACAAGGAAAGCAATTATTTGAGCTGAATAATCTCAAACCAAGCAGGACCATCCCATGTAAAGGGTCTCATTTCCAGATCTGTGTTTCTAAAGACTAGAGTGCTAAAAGAAACCAAAGGCCCAAAGGACAAAACCTCCACATGGTCAAATGGCCAATTCTGACACCCCAGCACAGTGACTCACCAGAGCCTGCTATGGGGGGATCCCAGCACCCTGGAGGTCCACAGCAAGCCCTGGCCTCTCTGAGCCACCTACCCCAGGCCATCACATCCACCCCACCAGGCATATGCTGCTTTATATATACCAGCTTCCTCTACATCCTGGCGCCAAGGCCTGCAGGTGGGAATAGAACAGACAGGGCTCCGAAAGAGGCTTAATCCCACTTACCCACTGGCCCTCCACATAAGAGCATCTTTGATGACCTGACACAGCAGAACCAGCTGAAACCGAAGGCTTTTAACATACCCAGTAGATGAAAAAAAATCACTTTAGAAAGATGATCAATCTGCAAGTGCCAGAAGGCCGACTCCCTTTCTCCCAACCCGCTTTGATTCTCTGAAATGCCCCCAATTCCACTTCACTGTTGAGGTGCGTGGTGACTTCAAGTAAGATTAAAAGTATGTTCAGATGTGATGGCGACAACAGCTCTGACCATTCAATGGACTCCTTTTGTTTCTACTTCTATCTTTGGGAACAGTTTTGCTCCCAGAACCCTCCCAAGATTGGATCCCCGGGCCTAGCCCTGTGCTGGCAGCACTTCAAGTATTTTAAAGGTAAAAGTCTCCCTGGAACTACTAGCTACTGCCTAACAGCTAATAATAGCAGTTATCAATTATTAAACACTTGATATGGTGCCAGGCAGTATGCTAAGCACTTAATGGACATTAAACCTCATATATCCTCACCACAACCCCATTTAAAGATAGGGAAACTGAGGCTCAAACTAAAAGAAATCACCTAGGATCACATAAACAGCCGAGTTGTCACCCATTCTGAACAAAGGAAAGCCCAAACTTAAGTGTGTTCCCACAGCACCCCAGAGTGCTGAGTCTACCAGGAGTCACTGAGAAAGAACACATGGTCTGTGCCCAGTACTCAAGAAGGGTGTCCCACCCGCTGCCCTCCCACGCGAGCCCTGCCACTGGGTGCAGTAGGCAAGACGCCATGCAGAAGTGGGGACTAGAATTAGTCCAGATGCCCTGAATCTGAAATGTTTCATTCCAAGAGCTGGAAAACTCTAGCTCTTAAGTCAATGCCCGATTCTGTTACTCATTATTATTTGACCCTGCTCAAAACCTGAAATTTTTCAATCTGCAAAGTGGATCTGCCTCATGAAGCTGTCTTAAGGGCTCACTCAGGAAATGCAGATGAAGGGTACCTGACACATACTGCCCCACCCTCCTTCCACCACGCCCCAGAACACTTGTTAGACAGGACAGGTATTAAAATCGGTTGTCTCCAGAAGCCTGTTAGAACCCGGCTTTTCCCATCTGAGTAAGGGACTCTGAGTTCATCCCAGGCCCAGATACAACTCCTGCCTCTGCCTGATGTCATGCACAGGGACCTTGTTCAAAAGTCATCTCTTGAACCACAGCACTGACCCTGCTCAAATGCGACATGCCCAAAAGTGCCTGGGCAATTCAGGCTCTCCACAGATTGGCTGTCCCCTATGGACACCTTTGAGTTGCTGGCCACTCCCTGTCCATAATGCAGGTTAGGCTCTTAGCTAGATTGTGGACTCCCTTCCCATTCCACTGAGTTCCAGCTCTGCGGTGCACAAAAGGACTTCAGACTTGCTCCTCATTTATAGGGACTGACTTCCCAGCCAGTCCTCCCATCACCCCTGGGTGATGTGGGCATCCGAAAGCCAATTTCTCCTGGATAATTCAGCAGCGCTATTAATGCTTTGTGTTTGTCCATATCTTGTAATTCCTATATAACCACAAGTCTATGAAGTCACCATCTCTATTTTATGGGGAGAGGTAGAGACCAAGGAGCTATCTAGGAAGAGAGAAGGGCAGAAACCTTCAGAGCATGAGCCCAGACAGCACACAAATTTAGATTTGATTCATGGTGATAGCAACAATGTGACCATGAATGTGGAACCCTAAAATGGGACAGCTGTACCTCACAAACTGTTGGGCAGAGCAAGTAAGAATCCAAGGATAAGCACTGCCTAATACTGGCTCCTAGAAAGCATTATCATAGTTATTACCACAAAGAGAGGGCAGACTCAACCTTCCTTCTAGAACAATGCTTTTTTTCAGCGACAGTCCAGCTTGCCTGGGGAGTTCAGGGAGGCGGGAGTTCAGGGAGGCAGGACACTCCAGGTACACACAGTTCGCCTGAGCAGCGAAGTGTCATAAATAAGCAGAACCGAGTAGGGGACGAAGAAGAGCATGGAGAAAGAAAAGGCAAGAAGAATAAAGGAAAACAAGCAAACTACAAACTCAGGTTGAAACCTACTCTGAGGCAATCATAACTCTGGGTGTTTACCTGAAAGATGGAAGACAGTAACCACTGCTTGGCCCTATTCAGTTTATCCTGAATTAAGATCAGCTTTTCTCTTGCAATCTCAGCTCCAACTGCTTCTGCCTGCTCCCTTCTCTGCTCATCAGCCTCCAGCCTCTCTCCTCCCCTGTGCCAGCCCCCAGCTGCTATTTCTGGGGATGGGCTGGCTGCCTGCCTGGCCCTGGCCTGGACCAAGCACCGCTGGGCCACACGCAATCCCAGACACTGCAGTCCCTGTGGATGCTCTGGCTCTAAGAGGTATCCGGATGCTGCTTCTAGCTCTTAGGCAGTTCTGTCAAGTGACAATTAAGCAAGTTCTGTCTTCCAGAGCTTACTGCAAAGACAGGGTCACCTCTCATGAACGAGATGACGAGGGGGCTCAAATAAACTGCACAGGAGGAATGAACTGTGAACTCAAGTTATGAAAAGCAAGGTGGAAGAACTGAGGAAAGGGAAAGAGGATTTGTGGAACGCGGTGCCACCCACTTCACAGCATCACCGCCTTCACACCGCACAACCGCCTCAGG